ATCCATCTTATATGACAGTTTAATACTGTAGGTTTAAATTTAATATTATGTGTTTCTTAACCAGGAGACATAGGGGAAAACCCTCTGTGGGTGAGACTGGAGAATTTGCCTTTTAATGCACCCACTAGATGATTCTGACATAACCAACCATGAGCAGCAGGAACCTGGAAAATTACAGTTTCTTTTAGGACAGCAGAAGGCTGAGGTAGAGGAGCCAACCTGGTGGGGTGAGGTGCTAGTGAGCACCGTTTTCAGGGGGACTGACTGCCAGTGCCTTCTCATCTCCTTACATGGCAATAAGGGAGTTCAGTAGCCCTCTGATCACTTTAGATAGCAGCACTAACCTCGTTCACAAGGACTTGATCCCTGTGACATACGTACCTCTCAGAGACGCCACCTGCATACCATGACATCAGGATCTGGGTTTCAAACACATGAATTTAGAGGGGACACAAGTATTCAGCCTATTACAGGTAGTCCATAGATGTCTTGACAGGCATTTGTACCATACATCATGGGAGTCACTGAAAGGTATTACTTACCTTTACAGTTTACTATCAGTTTCTTGCCTCTCTCTAATAATCAGAAAAACAGATAACATAATGTCTTGTTCTTACAGCCATACCAGTTAGCACCTGTCCCCCTTTACCCCTGTTACCCTACCATCTCACACACAGTGTGGCCATAAGTGATCATTTCTGGGTGGTAACAGAAGGCCTGGCAACTTGTCACCTCCACTCCATGGCACAGATTATTCATCTTCTGGAAAATGACTTCCTTCCTGCTGTCCTCAATCTTCCAGCCCTTGTCTACCCATCACAAGTCTTTAGGCAACAGTGTATTAGTTGAACACTTGCCCTATTTGAATTGCATGGTGATATTTTGCTTAACGTATTAGAGCAAGACAAGAGAAAGCCATGCTTAACACTCATGGAGTTAACAGTACATTTCCTGTTTCCACATACATTCTTCATGGGAGCTCATAGTGTACCCCTTTATTATCAAGGATAAGTAGATCCATCGATTAGATTGTTCTACTAATTTTCCACTAACTCCTGGTTTTCAATGTTTCTTCATCCCTTATAGTCATTTTCAAACATTAGCTTTTATTAAAAATCAGTTTCAAATGTTCTTAATAATGTAGTGTTTTTAGCTAATCACTAATCGATGTTTCCCAAAATTCTTAGTAATCAAACATCTCTAGTATCTACCAAGCACAAATTTATTCTCAAGGAAATGAAAACTAATTTTAGCATGCTTTCAATGTAATAAGCAACTAAGTGTGTCAAAATAATTTTTAACTGTTTGATGTCAAAAATTTTTAAATGCAAAAGAGAAAATTCACTAGAACCTTGGTTCCTGAACTTAATTTGTCCCATAAGTCTGGAAAAGATGCCATGTTTATGCTCATGCAGGGAAGGTGTACATGGTCATGTTCATTACCCAACATAGAGTTCACAAACAAAACATTGTGCTAAATGCTTCTTTTTGCAAACCAAATTGTTCACAAACAAAAAGCATTTGTGAACTGACATATGACTATAATGTAATGAACTAAAGACTAACCTTATTGTATCTTCTTTCCCACTTATTCCCCCAGCTCAAGATTATTTTATTCCAATCCAAACATTCTATCAATACATCTAATTTAAAATCTAATAACGATTGTTGAATGTCATCAAATATGTTAATTATTCCTGTTTAAAATGTATCACAATTTTGTGTCTTATATACCACAATTTTGTTATTAGTTGTGTCTCTTTGCTGTCTTAGGCTTCTTTTCATGTGTAGTTTCCACTCCTCTACCTCCCTGTCCTCTATCTCATTTCTCATTTTCTTTGTTGAAGAAATCTGTAGTTTCTGCACAGCACATGTGAATGCCCAGCCTTATTCTTTGCATTCTATTTACCACTGAAAGGAACTAGAACTTCTTGCACTAGTGGCCTGTCCCAAGTCTGAATCAGAAGAAGTACAAGATTACTCAGAAGTCTCTTGTCATGTCAGGGTAAAGAAAACTCTCAGAGGCCACTGGATTGTATTATCAGGGCTCAGGAGCCAACACCAGGACCCTTGTGTTGATCATAGATGTGATAATTAGGCTCACTAAAAAAAAAAAAAAAAAAAAAAAGAACAGTAATGGACTGAAATACATCAAAAGTTGAAATCCATGCATTTATAATGGTAGCAAAATTTAAGAGAAGCCCGACCTTTATGAATGCTGAGAAACCAATGAATTATTCTGAAAACTGAATAAAGGGAAAATAATTTTTAAAAAGAAGAAATTCAAAATGAAAAAATGGCTCCATTATGACTCTGTTCAATAGTTTTTCTAACAGTTGACTCTAGATGTTTATTGGGAAAATGTGCAGACTCAGTGATTTTTGCCATCTCAAAGCAAATTTGCTTCTTCACCTCTGGGGCCACAGGGAAGGGCTAAACTGCTTAGGTGCAGCAATTTTTTCCCTACTCACATTCTGGGAATATAAACAGAAATATTCTTCATCATGACCATTGTTCTTGTCATTTGATGCATCTGCAATATCAGATAGTAAAAATGATACAAGAATAAATTTAAGTGAATGCACATTGAATCTATAATCCAGTAAAAGATAGAAATATTGTGTTTATGTAGTATCAGTGAGGTACAAATATATTGCAATTTTATCCATGTTGTTTTGTTTTTCTTACAACTTCCATTGTGGTAAAATAATGTTTGGTCTTGATACAGCTAAGAATGTAATTCTGGAGTAGGGGTCCTGAATTCAGTCCCCTGTACCGAGAGAGAGGAGAGAGAGAGAGAGAGAGAGAGAGAGAGAGAGAGAGAGAGAGAGAGAGCGCGCCTTGATAGTTTTTTTCTAAATTTAAGAATTTGTTAAAAATGTTTTACTTTGTAATAGTTGATTTTCCATCACTGTACAAACTACTTGAGATATTTTTGCAGTTTATAAAGGCAAGATTATTTTGACTCGTAGTTTCAGAGCGTTCAGTCTATGGTTTATTTGTTCATTGCTTTTTGGGGCAGCGCATCATGGCAGGAGCAGGTGATGAAGCAGAACCACTCATCTCAGACCAGGGAGCAAAAGTAGGAAAAGAAAGGGACACCCTTCAAGGACACACCGTCTAATAACTAAACACCACTTAAGGGGTCTGTCATTTGCTACTAGTAACTCTCTGATGATACTTGGACCTTTGGTAGACATTCTGGAACCAAACTTTAACTTTCTAATAATGATTCATGTAACTTTAAAAATCTGCTTTAAATGCTATTATCCTGCAGTAGGCTATAAAAATCTAAGGTAATTAAATCATCCCTTCAAAGCCATTTTAGCTGCAAAAGTGTCATTTGCATAAAGACATCGACTGATAACCAGGAGTAAGACTAGATCTTATGAACAAAGACGAGGTACAGAAACAAGAGGCCACCACTGATAAGGGAAGAATGGAGTCCCAGGACATCCAAATAGTCACATGTCCTGCTCTTCCTTAAACTTTAGGTTTTCTGGGCTTCAGGAAATACAGCAAGGGAAGAGAAGTCAGGAGAGGTCAGAGAAAGAATGAGCTTTCTCCAAGGTGAGCTAGAAAAGCTGGGGATTTAGCTCAATAGGATAAAGTACCTGCCTGGCAAGTGCAAGGTCCTGAGTTCGATACCTGGTACTAAAAAAAAAAAACCAACTTAAAGTTTAAAAAAAGTTTTAAGAACTATGGGAATAATAAAACCCAAAAAGTGTAATTGTTATTGTAAAAAAGAGAGGAAAAGAAAGTGATCTAAAAGATATAACTGCATGTATATTTAAGTGTGTAGGATAGAAAAACGTATTCCCGAGTTTTTATTGGATCATTAAACAGAACTGTCTACAATCTCACTGTATGAATGTCCACTTTATATGCTTTAATTTTGTAATTTGGACAACTGTTTCTAAAATGAAAATATGTGATCTATTAACTAGTGATTTCTTACTGTATTTTTTTTCTTGAAATTCTGTATTACTTGTACCCTTTACTGCTTTGTTTTGTTTTGTTTTGTTTCTCTCTTTAAATAAAAAAGAAACTCAAGCTCTTAAGCAGGTCAGTAAAATAGATATGATTTCAGGGAAACTCACAATTTGTGAATACATAATGTTTTTTAATTTAAAAGATAAATCATGTTGATTAAGTTAATTTGTAAGTACAGTCAGCCCTGTGAACTCAAACAACTGTGGATCAAAAACAAGTTGTTTTGAACATGTAGACTTTTGTATAATTGTTTACTCAGCATTTGCATTGTATTAGGTATTATGTATAATCTAGAGATGATTTAAAATATATTGGAAGATTACCTAGTTTTATGCAAATACTAGAAAATTTTATATCAGCAACAGATTTTGGTACCTGTGGGGTTGTCTTAGGACCAATCCCTGCAACACAGAGGGACAGTAACTATAATTACATGTTTATGAAAAAGGTATCAAGTCACATTACAATTGTGTTTACTGCTTTGAATTTCATGTGCAATTTCATCCTTTTCTTTCATTTTCCTCTTATACTCTCTTGTAGTAACTCTGGTCTTGCTGTTTCATTGAAAACTTCTGTTTCTGAAGACTCACAATCACTGAAGAGAAAAAAGTCTTATACTTTTATGTGTTATCCATACTCTCAGGCACCCTGGCTATTTAGAGTGTGAAAGTATAATCGGGACACCATCATTCCACAGAATGTCCTAAATACCAGCAGAAAAGACTGTTAGAAATAAATAGCAGGTTGTTGTTATATGACGACTGACACAGGGTCCGTACAGCCAAAGTTTGGGGAAGTCAGAGAATGTGTATCACCCAAAATGACAGGTGATTTTCATCTTGAAGTTGTTGCCCTGCCATGCAGCCTTACAATTCATGGTCCAGGTGATGGATGACACATTGTCAGAATTCTTGATGACAGGAACTTAATACAGTATCACTGTAGATGAGCAACATTTAACTTATTGTTGTCTGTATAACTTATGTTAATCTGCTGCTTTCCTCTAGGTGTCATTCTGTATATTCTACTGGTGGGGTATCCTCCCTTCTGGGATGAGGACCAACACAGACTCTACCAGCAAATCAAGGCTGGCGCATATGATGTATGTAATAAATACTCATGTTGCTTAGATAGGGGTTTGATTTTTCATTGACCAAGAGCCAGATTTTTCATTGTTCTTTTAACTACAATCTTCATCAGTTTCCTTTATTTCCTTTTTGCTTAGGAAAAGAGAAAGAAGAGCAGAATATGTAATCCATTTTTTATTTATTTCCAACTCATTATCTCCTAAAATTGAAAGGAAAGGAATTTGAAGTCTCTGAGGAGTTTACTTGTCAAATTTTTCAGATTTTAGCATTTTTAAAATATAAAAATTAAAAGATTTCTGCTTTAGAAATTATTGCTACCTCTTAGCTGTCTGTCACATAGTTTTTAAATATATACAAACTGCACTGATTCAATATATCAACCAGAATATCATTCTCTCTATTATGTCATCTCTGTCTTTTTGTCTTTTTTATGTAATGGGCTTTTTTGCAAGCTTTGATTTGAAAAATGAGTTTCATTTTTGAAAATTACAATCCTAATACATTTAATTTATAATTCGAATATTTGAAAGCAAGTTACACACACACATACACACACACATGCACACATGCATGCGCACACATGTGTTCATAATCGTAGCAGGAAGGATTTTTCTTTCTCTTGATAACTTTGTATTCATTGATGTAATTTCCTGTCTTTAGTAAATAACCGTGTCTTGCTTAATGACAGAATTGCTTTCTAAGAAATGCATCATTAGATGTTTTTTTCACTGTGCAGGCACCATAGTATATACTTATACAAACCTTAATGGTGTAAATCAATCACTCAATGTGGCCTCTTGACACAATTAAGAGGTGCAGTAGCATGAGATTATGAGGTTGTTATTGCAGTAAAGAGGTACACTGCTTTACAGTAAACATCTTTTAAGAAATGAAACGTGTGCACTCTAAAATAATAAAAACATAGTAAGTACACAAACCAATAGCATAGTTGTTAAATATCAATTATAAAGTATTATGCACTGTGCATAATTGTATATATTATCTTGTTACGTAAATGGCAGTGCAGTAGGCTTGTTTACATCAGCATCACTACAAGCATCAGCAATATGTTGTCCTACTGTATTGTGATGGCAAAGACAAAATACATGATGGGAATTTTTCATTACAGTGTTATGGAATCACTGTCATGTACTCAGTCCATTTCTGACTTAAGTGTCAATTCTACAACACATGACTGTGTTTCTCTAAGTATAATTTACTCTTTTCTTGGGTTTCACTTCATATATATTTCTGAAAATCCAAGTGCTAGGCTACTTTCCATGAATCACTAAGTTGGGTTATTGAAGCGCAAGTAATACTGGATCTACCTTCTGAGCATAAATTAAAGGTTCAGTATGGAAGTAAGAGGAGTAGATACAGAAAGTCATGTTTATATTCTGTCATGACGTCTTCAATGTTTTTTTGTCAAAATACTCAAGTTAGGTGAATGTGTTCATCAGTTATCAAGTACTTAAAATGTATATTAAATGTATATTCTTTTAATTTTGATGCATTCCTTTCCACATGGACCCGCCATGATTACATGGCCACAGTTTGTCCACTGTCACTTTGACAGACTAAACTCAGCCCCAATGGCCTTGTAGACACATTACACATTCGCTGAGTAAATGGAGAGATTGTCTTTCTGGAAATCTGCTAAGTGAGGAAAAGGCCACCTTTTTTCAGGCTCGCCCAACTCCTTTTTGCTGTTGGGAGACCTGCTGTCTGTTCACACACTTGACTGTGTCTGCAAAAGTGATAGTTGTAAGGTTTTACAGCTGCTCCAAACAAGCTTTTGAAATGGAAAAATGCCACCCCTTAAACTGGCAAAAATTATAGGTATTAATGAGTCACTGTCATTTTTCTCAGCTTTCACTTTGCCATTTGCTCACAAGCTGCCATTCCATAACTACTGCAAGAGACTCAATGATTTCCATGGCAGATGACAGTGGCTTTGTTTGTCAAAATTGACTATAAAAGTTCAGGAATTAGGAAAAGATATTCTGTCATTTAGTAACTAATATGATGTAAATTTATCTTAACCCATGAAGAATATTTCTACAAATATGCTAATTACATGAAAGTAAGGTTAAATGATTAGCAACAAAAAACATTGTCAGAAAAGGAGGATAAGTAGCGCATTATGTAATTATCAATGAAACTATGACTTATTAATGGAAGTCATGGGAGCTGCTTGCTTTCGTTGTAGTTTGGTGAAATTTTTAATTAGACATTAATGTGAAATCCTGGTGAAGTTTTAGTAGCCACAGTTTTTTTCTCAGTACAACACTCTTAAGTAGCTACAAGTAATAGGTCAGTTTTGTTTGAAAGTCAAAGTTGTTTTATTATCTGCTGTTGTGCTCACAAGTTGTGCAAGTGCGCGATAAACCCAGTGAACATTAGCATGATGACTTCAACATATATGGCAAAGATGCAGCTTTTATTGAGTTGTCCAATTGACTTTGAGAAAGATTGCATAAGAATTCATTTTCAGTTAAAAACCAAAGCTATTTTGAAAGGAACAGAGTATTCTTAGTTTATTTTTGTAAATTTTAAAATGTATTTGCTATATGTAATGTACATGTGGTGGCCCCTTCTCAGTCTTTAGTATTTGTCCTTTAACACATGGAGGAAAAACTAGATCTAAACTGAATGTTTTGAATATAATTTAACTTATACAAAAGAAAATTATATGAAGAATTCACTAATTATGGAAATGATTAGTATAGATGGTTCTTCCCTATTTGAGTGTTCATGTTGTTAACTTTTTATAAATTTGTATTTTTGAAGTTTCCATCACCAGAATGGGACACAGTAACTCCTGAAGCCAAAGACCTGATCAACAAAATGCTTACTATCAACCCTGCCAAACGCATCACAGCCTCAGAGGCCCTGAAACACCCATGGATCTGTGTAAGCAACCCTTCAAAAACCACAGGAGATAAATGAAAAATAAACTTTCCTTTAACATTGTTTTCATAGATTTAAAATAACTCTTCCAAAAAATATAAAACTCTGAATGAATATATTTTTTATGCAACATATTTAAGGATGTGAATTTCACAGTAGTAAAAAAACACATCATTTTGTGTATAAAATCTACATCGATTGCTAAGTAAATATTGTCTACAAATACCACAATGAATGAGAATTCCCTGTCAGTTATTGATAGACTCGTGAGCACAGCTAAACATAACACCAAGATTGAAGACATCCCACAAGAAAAAAATTAAAGTTAAATTATTTATCATTGAACATCTTTAGAAACATACATGAGATTTGAAAGCTTGTGTAGAGCAGCATAAAGAGAAGACTATATCTGTCTGAACACATTTTAGAAGGTTTAAGAAAAAACAGTAGGAAACTTGGGAAAATCTGAAAACTTTAGTACATTTATAAGAGTGAGAATCAAATGTTAGGGCGATAAAGACAATATTAAGTAAATGAATGGCAGTCCAGTAGAATTTTGACTAAAGATTTATTATAATAAAGATAATTGGGGAAATTAGTGGTATTTATTTCACGTTTTGTGCTGAAATATAAAGATCTGATGAAGTTGAGGATGTTGTTATGCTTAGTATGACTCAAATATCTTCAAGTAAGCCTTTTTTCCCTCTTTTCTTCCAGCAACGTTCTACTGTTGCTTCCATGATGCACAGACAGGAGACTGTCGATTGCTTGAAGAAATTCAATGCTAGACGAAAACTAAAGGTAAGGAAGTTTACATTGTTGTGGAGAGGTAGATTTGGCAGGGTGAGAAGTGCGTTTTTTTCCTCAAAGTTTTACCCAAAGCTTCTCAGCGGGAAAAATGGAATATGCACCATACTCCAACCTGCAACCAGAAGCTCTGGTCAGTGTGGCAACAACGTGTGCTGTGGTTTCTCCTTTCTGTAGAAAACACCTTGCGTTTTGAGAACTTGAATGTGGCCCACACAGGAGGAGTGTCCCAGTGTCCTGAAAGACACAGGCCAGGACTATCAGGAAACCAAAGAACAAAAACAATCAAAAGTCCCCTTACTGAAAATAAACCTGAGGGAACATTACTGAGCCAAGACTGTATTTGTAAGATTTGCCAAGGCAACATTGATTTTGTTCTTATTGCTTTGACAGGGTGCCATTTTGACAACCATGCTGGCTACAAGGAATTTTTCAGGTACATACATTAATAATTCTGCTCCTATTCTCTGCATTCTTCTTTAGTAGTTTATTTATTTTTTATTTATTTACCTATTTGGCATTAAAAAAATCTAACTAGGGAAGTATGTTGTTCACAGGTGACAAATGAGTGACACAGATTCCTCTCACTCCTGTAGCCACCGTTTGTTCTGCTCCTAGGTGCTGTCTGCTGCAGAATCTCCTGAAACTACAGCCTCACAGTAGGGCTCAGCTGTACCGGCCAGTGCCAGTACTGGTGCCAGGCTAGATACCCACTTAAACAGGGCAGGTGCAGAGGTTGGGGGGGGGTGCTATGTGTTCCCTCAATTTGAAACTCAGCATGTCAAACCAAAAATTTACTGATCTTTCATAAAATAATGACTATGAATAAGTTCTCTTTGTTTCATTCTCATAGGGAGTTCCAATAAGTAAGATGTTTAAAGACCTTTATTGGGGAACCCAGTACTCTTAGGCCCAAGTTCTTTCAAAAACACAGTAGCATCTTGGCATGCTGTGAGAATGCTTAGAGATGCAAAGGAGTCTAACTCAGGAACTTACACAGAACATAACATACGGGGTGATAAACACTCCTCAAAACAATTCTATGGTAAAATGTTTGCTATGGCTCAAAGAAGCTAAACAGTCTCTTGCATTGTAAAAATAACTCTCCAAAAGGGATAGAAAGTATATATATTATTTCCAGAAATTATTTGAATCCTGAAGCTCCCTTCTTTGATAGATTATCTCAAAGAACTAGACTCTCAAAAATCAAATTTTCATAAATACCAGTTTTATGTATACAGCGGAACTGAAATGTAATTAAGCTGCACTTGACAAAGTTCGGATGTTTAGACTTACAACAGTTACTAAAAGTTAGTACCAAAAATACAACTACTTTAGAGTACATGTTATTTGTGTAACAGTGATCTACATCATTAGTCTATCCAGCTCATTTTTCAGTTCTGTATTTCACCATTCTAAATAATATGGTAATAACAGCTGATGATTCAGTTTATCATTATCAAATGTTCTTCAACCAGTTTCTAGCTTTTACTCACAGCTGTGTTCAGTGGTCAACTTCACCTTCTTTCCATTTTAGTTAGAGATTATATTAACACCATTGGCTGTTACACAACCACCACTACCATAATAGTGCGATGAGCTGTGCTGCACCCTAGGGACTGTGTTGGTCGGTTGTACATATTTTGTCCAATTTGTTTGATGTGATAAAACCTCATTGCTACCTTTGTCAAGTTGCCTGTTGTGTAAACACTTGATTAATGTGGTTGTCATTTACATGGTTGAGTTCAATGCCATTTCATTAAGTATTAACTAATAATAACGTATATTTAAAAAAATAAGTGTTTCACCTCGGCCCAGAAACTAGCAAATCACTAAAAGGTAGGATGATTTGTATAATATATATTGTTAATGGCAAGCTAAGTTTTTAAAACTTCAGAAATAAAATTGTGTATTATGTTAAAATGTTAAATGCATCCTTGAGACATAAATTGGGCCTCTTTATTAGTTAATGTTTATATCCATTTATGAGAGCTTTTCAGTTACCTCATATTTTTCCTTCCATTACCCCATAAACTAAAACCTCACGACTAATATGTAAATTTGATAGCATTTCTGAACATTTTAGCATGAAAAACAAACTTTTATTTAATTCATCACTTCACAAACAACCGAATTACATTACAGTCAGTGACATCTTGTACTTAATATTGCATTTCAGTTTTGAGTATTTTACTCATCCTATTTCATTGCCAAACATACATTTTAAGATAATCTGTCCATAAGTATATGGTTATAAAGTTGTTTTTATTTTTTCTTTTCTCCCTGTATGTGGAATGTATTTCTTGTGAGGTAAGGTGAACAGTAACAAAAAGGGCTATTTCTGCATCTCCCAGGCCAAATCGCTGCTTACCCTGAATCATTGTCTTCTCTTTGCTTGCTATTGCAATTCCAATTATCCTGAGTTTGCTTTCTAACCTATTAACTGCCATGGGATTTCCTTTATATTGCTTTTTAGTGCCAGGCAAACAATATTTGCCAGTATTAGCCAAAGCAACTACTTAACAGGCTCAATTGATTATAAATTAATAGCTTTGTTGCTAAAGACTAAATACATTAACAATTTTGTATCTTTAAAATAAAGTTTAAATTTTATCAAAATACAATCGAAATAATGCCCCAAATCTGCAGAATATTAGAAAATTACATGCTTATGAAGTTTTATGATAGCTAGATATTTCCACTTGAGATGTCAAATTCTATTTTGATGTACTTAACTAATTAGACCTTATTAATGTTAAATTGAAGTGCATACTTTGTGCTGCATACTTGTGTATGTTCTACACCTGGTATATTAATAGTAAAATAGTGTGTTTACTGCCTTTGTACCCGTGCATAAGTATACTTTTTAAAAGCATGAGTTTACCTTTTAATAAACTCAAAAACTGTAAACTCCCTCTCTATAAAAAATAAAGTTACGTGCAATAATTTAGGATTTTCCTGATTAAAAGACGTTTTATTTTAAATTATGATTCTTAATTTTTTCAATTTAGAGATTTTTAAGAAGCCTTTGTATTCTAATTTTGAATTTTAAATGATGCATAGTGCCTTTTTTTAAAGATCATATGCTACACATTTAACATTATTCCTCTAGGTCAATATAAATATTTTGTTTTAAACAAAATTATTAATATTTTTTGAAAAGATAAAGTTGTCTGATTTCAAAAATGTAGAGATGTTATTCAGCAAGAGCACATTCTTACAGATGAGTTTTCAACCTGTAGAAAGAGGGGCTTAGGGTGAAACTGACATGGCCACAAACTTGTGGTGTGAATGAACTTGTAACCTAATTTGTCAGCTGATGTCTCAAGACTAAAACAACTTTCTGGATTACAAAAGAATAGTCCAGTTAAAGTTCCAGTATCCTTTTCGCAACCAAGCAGTGAAATGAAATCCAAAAACCCAACTGGCAAAATGTACAATTTTATTCAATGAACTACGTAAGAATTTAGTTCTAAATTTCTTATGGCAAAACCAGAAAAGTGATACTGTGTTTCAATGTCCTGTAAGCTCGCGCTCATCAGTGTGACTGTAATAATTTGGCATATGTTAGCCATAATCAGCACAGGTGGTCGAAGAGACAGTAGCCTGTTATGTTGCCTACCTATGGATTTCAATGGGTGGCTGCTAAACTGATTTTACTTTCATCTTGCAGCAGCCAAGAGTTTGTTGAAGAAACCAGATGGAGTGAAGGTAAGTTAAGCAGGTATTCTTAAGCCATGTCTGATTTTCACATGCTTCATAATTTACAATGTTAAATATAAGCCCTACATCATTGACCTTGTATATTTGATAGTTCTTTATAAAGGATGCAGGATGAAATGTGAAATAATTTGATACACAAAACTAGTACACACAAGAATGCTAAGAAAAGTTGTACCTTTTCAACTTAGTTATATACCAAATAATATCAAAAACTTAATATTTATATATGACATTCCATTATAAACTGAGTATCTAAATTCTCACTGCTTTACCACAGTTCCAAACTGCCATGGTGATCAAAAAAATCTATGAAAAGCAAATACTTTTCAAAAAAACTTATAATGTGTGCTTGAAGGCTATCAAAATGTATTATTATTGCCTCAGGGAAAAAAACTCAAAGTCTGAGATATCAAACGTGACGACAGTTTTCTGCTTTGGCAGTTATTTATGCAGGTCTAAATTTTTCTGTTTCTGTTGTAGGGTTGAAAAACAGATTAAAACTGTATATTCTAAAAAAACTTAGAAACTCTTCCAAGAAAAATTAGATAATTTTATTTAATTTTTATATATTTAATCAAAATAATACCTCTGATTGTATTTGTCTTGAGTGTTTACTTTTGATGCAATATAACCATATATGTCCATAATAATGTTTGTTCTCTTTAAGAGTATCATATAAATGTCTTATTTTTTAATCCTTTTCTTTCTCTCCCAATGGCAGATGCATGCATTCCTTATCAACACTTCAACATTCTTGGAAATTATTAATATTTTAATATTTGAACTTGACTCAGGTGGTCAGTTCATACTGAAAATATAGCATAGAAAATCATTTGTCATTTCTTATGTTCATACCCCATCATTTCTTCACCACCTGTCTGTGTGTAATTCGGGAATTTCCACAGCCATGGTGACCATGCACTGGGATCCTAGTAGGTTGGCATTTCCATTTACCACTTGTTTCTTCAACCTATAATCATATCTTCTTTCTGTTCAGTTTTGGACTTTGAGTATCAATAATGAGAGTTGATGATTACCTTTTTCCTAAAGTTACCTTAGTGGAAATGTGGCCTTTTCAATTTCCCATGTGTTTTCTTTGGTACCGTTCAGTGATGGAGAACTCAGAGTTTTTTTGTTTGGTTTAGTTTGGGTTGGGTTTTTGTTTCCTTGTTTGTTCATTTGAGCAAGGTCCTACTGTGCAGAGAACTCAGAATTTTTGATGGAGATGCTGATTTTCACTACTATTCTTATATAGAAAGAAATATTTTCAGAACCTTACTCATTTGGTAAACTTATCTCTCCTCTTTAAAGATAAAATTATTCTTTACTCCATGCTTTGGTACTTTAAATTCAACCAGTCATTTTTTTTTTTCCTTTCGCTTTGATTGGTCAATTCAGAAAAGGAAGTCCAGTTCGAGTGTTCAGATGATGGTGAGGATCTCTCTCTCTGCCAGATTTCTTCTCCTTTGAAAATTTGCACTTAGAAATAAAAATCGTATTTACCTAAGTTAAATGGCGAGAGTATAGAATTATGACAGATCAGTGATCATAACATGTCAAAACGGTGTAGGCCACTTTCACATTATATTGATTTTCTCTGAAATTGAATTTTTTTAAATATGGAAGAAGTTAAATCTTCATCTATATGCTGGTAATGAATTTGACCTGCCACATAGCCTAAGTCCAATTTTGTCTTTGAAAATAAAGATTACATGACATAATAATGAATATTTACTGATAAATGAAGAAACACTATAGGATTATTTTTTAAATGATGGTTATGATTGCTAAAATAGGAGTGATTCTTAGCTCACACTATAATATATTCATTATGAGTTTTATAAGTAATACGAAAATGATCTTGCAGCAGAACCAATCCTACAAGGAAATATATGTTTTAACCTCAGGCCTTAATAAATTCAGCACTCAAAAAATAGAAATACCTTACCTATGCCTCATAAAAGTAATTCAGTGTATCATATAAATACCTGATTCAATTCAGGTTTTATAGAAAAGAAAAATAGAATGTGTCCACAATGTAAAATAACTCCATTTATTTGTGTATTTAAAAAACAGCATAGTTGAACCAATACTTGACTCTTTGAAAGGAAGATCTTCTAGTTTTTTACTTAGAATTTTTCTATTATTTGTAATTAATATTACAAATACATTTCTCATAGTAAAAGCAAACCAAAAAAAGCTCACTAGGCTAATCTAATTCATGTCTCTTACACTTGACACTAAAGGATGGTTTACCTAGACAGAATGTCCTTCATTTGAGGGAGATGGTCATGTATGTACCCTGTGAACTTATGTATAAATGTGGGGGAGAGAGCACAGCACTTGTTCATATATGTGTATGTACATACGTGTGCATGTGAGATCTTTTCACTAAAATAAAGCAGTTTTTAGCAAGCACATCCTAAGAAAACATCAATCTAGAAACAGAATAAACTTCTTAGAAAGTTGTTGTCATTTGAATTCACTCATATAAATTAAATATAGCATTTTAAATACATGTGACACTTTCATAAGTGTCCCTTATCATTTGACAAGAAGTCAACTAGTTTGCCAAGCACTTTCCTGAATAATAAATTATTTATGTGCATTTTCTCATATGTCTTAAACTGACCTAAATACATTTTTGATCCCTCTTTAATAGCCACAATTACCTCATATCTCTTTTTTTGGCTCTTGCACAAATTTTGTGTTAAACTTTTCCACTTTAAAAAAAAAATTAAACTACCTACAAACTATAGATCAACAGTGTAACATATAATGAATTTTTCAGTGAAGAAGAATTTAAATTTCCTGCATGTCAGAGTGAGCACTATGTTACAGCTTGTTTGAATAATGCTGATCCCAGTAACCACACAATTGTGAATGCATAGAAAAGAAAAACACTACTTGCCTAAATTAACTTCTACTACCAGTGCTAATTCCCATATAACCTATAGTTATAGGTTATGTAACTATAGAACAAAGAGATTGTGGAAAGCCCAAACAATTGTGTAAGCATTTATTCTTATTCTGTATGTGTTTCTTTTTAATTCCTTAAGTACACTTATACTTGCATTAAAATTGTGATGTATATTCTTTTAGAAAATAATGTATGATGAAAATACCTAAATAATATAAGAAAAGGAATATAGTTTGTATTTCTGTTTGATAACCATAATGTAATATGTCATGCATGAATGTAAAAAGTTGTTAATTTTTACTTTTTAGTCTTTGATTCTTGAATGCCCAAACTTGATTGTAGTTTCAAGTTGCCACTTGTCCACAGAGTCTTCTCTGTGTGCCATTATAAAATTTACTACTCTTTGCATTTTGTCATAACATCACTTCCACAGTGGTAAAGATAACTTCCTGATGGTTACAGCTCATTGTGTATGAAGAAATGATATTACCAAATATATTCTTCAATGATAACAGTAAAACTTTGACAGAAAATGAAGTGTTCTCTCAAACAATTGTGAAAAATTTTATGTTTAACATAAAGTTTGATTTCTCTATAATAATTGATATTTTTAGAGGAGACACAGACTTACCAATTTCAAATAATATTTTGACACCTGTGTTTGTAGATGATGTAAGTTTTTAATCAGGGTATTTAGTAAACAAAGTCATGATGGCACTCCAGAGAATGACAATCTGTGTGTGACTTCAAGCTCAATAATAAAACAATAATTTTAAAAAGGAATGTATGCATAGCAGTGAAGCTTGGAGACAGCATCTAGGAGTACAAAAATGCTTATACTCATTTTATACTCTGAAACTCCATTTGAGCTCCATAGGAGTATCTCTTTGCTTGCTAAGATAGCAAAACCAAAGAAGCAAGTCTGCTTTATCATTGCACCATCACAGACAAGATCCTGGGCTGTGTGCAACTTTCCGGGGCTGGAAGTGGCACCCTTCCTGTCCATTATCACCTGTCTCTCTCATTCATCTTCAGGGCTCTTTATTTTCATGGCTGTATCTCCATGTAGACATGCTGTGTGTGGAGACATTGGCTACCAAGGGGTTTAAGGCATCTCTTTCTATTTTCTGCATACCCACAGATAAACAACAAAGCCAACGTGGTAACCAGCCCCAAAGAAAATATTCCTACCCCGGCGCTGGTATACCTGGATTCTTTGTAACCCTTCTTAAGTTCTTTACTGTATTTTGTTGTTTTTTTCATTTGCTTTCATTCTGTAGATACATATATATAAATATGTTGTTTTCTTGAGGGTTTTATTTTGTTTTTGCTTTCTAAGATATGGAAAAAAGTTCATTTCTTTTATTTTTTTTCTTTTTGTTAAAAAAGCTGTCAAGCAATGTGTTTCTAACATGAGAGTATCTCATCTCATTGTCAAACATTGTTCTGGTCTCTGTAGTTGAGACTGTCGCATGCTGCCTTAGAAATACAACAGAATGCGCTTTGGTTGCTCTTAGCTCTTCTGATGATGATGTTCTTGTGTACATGATGGTTTCTTCTTTTCATGACAAAACACTGGCATCAAGGAGAGCTAACAGGATGATTGCGAGTCAACATAAACCTAGACCTTATTCAGAGTCCCTGTTTTCTTCTTTCTGAAAGACAACATGGCTTTGTAAGACCTTACTTACTGAGACAAAGAGGCACTAGGTAATTTAAAGCTTTTTGCTTGTTGTGTTTTAAATTTTCACTGTTTCATGTTAATCCAAAGAACAAAAATTCCATAGGTTAGAATTATCAATAGAAACCAATTTTATTTGCACAATTTCCTAAATCAGTTTATCCTCACTTGCTAAACCAGTTTGATAGTGTTGTGTTCAAATTCAGAATTTGAATACTGACACTGAGTTGTGCTGAGTTCCATAATATTTTCCTCAAACCACTGCATATTCTATAACTTTCAGAAATGTTTTTGGATTTTCATTCTCCTTGTACTATTATTTTAAATAAATTAAAATATTAGAGGATTAGTCCCCTTGAATTAACCAATAGGCTCAATTTTAAAACATGTAAAGGAAGGAGGCATCATGATAGCAAATTTTCAGAGCTGAGGACTAACTCAGTGATTATATTGGTTATCTTTGTCTTGCAGGCACAATATACTCAAATCCGACAATTTAAAAGAAGAGAGGTTTATTTGGCTCACAGCTTCAAACATTTCAGTCCATGGTCAGCTGACTTATCAGCACGAGCATTATGGCAGGAAATTGTAGCAGAGGAAAGCTTTTCACCTCTTGGTGGACAGAAGCCAAGAGAAGGGTCAGAGGACAAGAATACATCATTCCAGGGGCTGGGAATTTAGCTCAGCAGCGTAAGTGCCTGCCTGGCAAGCACGAGGTCATGAGTTAGGTCTCCAGTACCAAAAAAAAAAAAAAAAAAAAAAAGAGCAAAACAAAACAAAAAAGTATGTGTATCACGTGGTAACAATAAATACTGTTTTAGGGCTGAGGATTTAGCTCAGTGTTAAGCACCTGCCTGGCAAGCATGAGATCACTAGTTCAATCCTTGGTACAAAACAAAACAAAACAAAAACCCTACATCATTCCAGGTCATACCTACAGTGATGCATGTCTTTCCAGTCAGGCCCCACCTGCTAACATCATATTTGTCAGTCATCCATGAATGTATCTACTCATGAGTATTGCCCTTATGGTCCAGTCACTGTTCAATCACCTACCTCTGAACCCATGAGAGTTTGGGTGGATATTTTAGGTCAGTACCAGAGTATTGATAGAATAATTGCCTACCAGGTACAGATTTCCTAGGTTTCTTCGTACAACTACACACACACGCACACAAACACACATGCACGCACGCACACCATGCACACCCACACACACAGTATTGATACAGCTTAGGGAAGGAAAAAGGAAAGCACTAAGTATAGTCTGTAAGTATGTGCTATAAACCATTATGGTAGGAAAGTGCCTACGTTGAGTGAACTCTTGGTGGTTTACAGTAACTCACAATGGTCAAGAGATTCTGTAATGAATATGCTAAAGAGGGAATTGATGCATGAATATTGGGTATTTTTTCTATTAGTTTTTGGATATTATTCTCCAATTGAAAAATACCATTTTGATTTTCTGGTAGAAAGCAACAGGAAAAATATTTTCATCATGGAAACATTTGAATTTACAATCAAATATTCTACATATAAAGTCCGTAAAAGAAGAAAATTTTAGAAATCAGTTAAAGCAGGATTTAATGACAGTATGTTTCAAATTATAGTGGTTGTATGATTAGTTGCAGAACTTTGTAAATGAATGATTTAATAAATGTTTCTTGGAATTTTTCATGGACTTTTGAAGTGAATTCTTTAGACTTTTATAAGTGTGATCCAACATTTCTAGATTTTTTCCAAGGGTATTCAGCTATGTGTTAATTATACTGATGACACCATAATCAATTCTCAAAGCAATACAGCTGAAAAATACCTTCATAGAGAACTGGAAATCTTGCCAAACAGTTCTATTTCCAGAGTCCTTGTCTAGTTTTCTATGGGACAGACATCAACAGACCACTCATTAAAGAAGCAAGGCAAACACCATCTGGCATAGGATGAGGTGAAACAGTGAGTGCCTCTTTAGGTCTCCTAGCTTCAAAGCCTTGTCTGTATCCTGATCAGGAATAAGGTCTTTTGCATGCCGCTTTTGGGTAGGGATGTGCCCTACCTCATGGGCTCGCCAGGGAGAGCTTTCATCAGAGATCTCGTCAGCTGCAGCTTCTGCCAGCAGCTAACATGGCTTTAGTTCTTGTCACTCTTTTGTTTTGTCAGTTGGCTTACCCTTCTCTGTCCCTCCAACTAGTAAGAACGTATTTACCAATGCAAACTGTTTCTTTCTCTATTTTGTTCTCACTCAGGAGCCCCAAACTACTGTAATCCACAACCCTGATGGAAACAAGGTATTCAGAAAGAATCAACATCATCTGGCTTTTACAAGATTACACATCTCATCAAATATTCAAAATTGTTCATTATCTAAAAATAGAAAAGAAAATTGGTACTTTTTTCCTACTGTACTTTCTTTTCTGTTTAATTGGCTTAAAACTATATACAGATTTCTTTCAATTAAAAATGAATGACAACCTGAAATAGAAATGAATAATACCTTACTCAGTAAAAAATAAAAATCAGCTTAAACATTTACAAAGTCTTTATGTGAAGATGACTGTGTATCTTAAGCAATTCCATCTGGTATTTTTCTTTTTCTCATGCCTCCTTGTGCATTGTACTGTGAATGTATATACTGCATGAAATCTTAGAATTTCTTGCTGTCATCCCATTGTCTTGAGAAATATCAACTTCAGCTCATAGGTTTTTGTTTAAATTCATTGTTGTTTTTGAGTTTTAGTCTATTCTGTTGCCATAGTGAATTTTTTTTGTGATTTTGTTGTTCTTCGTGTTTTTCTTGTTGAGTTCCTTGTTGTGGATGATGTTGTTTGACAGAAATTTGAAAGGGACCAGGCAGTTTCACTTTTTGCAAAATATGTTTGTCATCACTGCGTTTTAGCAACAGATTTTCTATTTATGCTGAATGAAGACTATTGTGTTCTACCCGTTGTGAATTATTTGTGCAACTTGTTAATTAAATAACACTTACATACATGTCTGTAAGGTGAAGGGAAACAATCTATGAATGTATTTCATGTTTTCATTTCATTATTTTTTAAACATTGTTATGTCTCTAAGGAAAGGAAAAATACATCGTGTAACTTTTCTTAAAAATTTAGTATAGTAATGAGTCCTACTTCTTGCTTGTAACAATAATGTTAAAGGCTTAGAAAACACATTTCCTCTCTGGTTTAATAGTTAGCTGATCATTATGATAAAAATTGAAAAATCTGTTTTAAGATGAGATATATTTACTAGTTATAACACTGGAAATATTCTACATCCCTGAAAGACTTGGTAGTCAGTAGTATCACGTGTGAGAGTGGTTTTTAATAGGATTAAAAAGTGAAAGACCCAGCATAACAACGGAGTGGACCTTCCATAGTTCTAGCTATACCATTTGTAAGCGTTGCATGGTATTTCTTGCTTACATGGATTAGTTTAATTTTACAGTGCATGGGTTTACCTTCATGTCGAATTTAGAGCTGAACTCTACATCACACTGAGAAATGCATGAAGACTTTTGTTTGGTTTTATACATATGGAGGAGAACTCTGGATACATGTTTAGTTTATTTGTTTGGTTTAAAGATTATATATGATATTTATATAAATTTATCACTTTTTAAAATACTGAATCTATAAAAGGACACAGACTAGTATCTTACTAAAATCTGTTTTTCATCACTGTGTGTATAGCTATTAATTGGAAGTTTGTTTCCAATTATTTTGAGCACTAGCCTTTAATCATTCCAAGTAGAATATTGTGTTTTTCTTATAAATATTGCAAAATTTCTTTGCCAAAAAAAATCTTAGTATTTTTAATGGAAACACTTATGAAATTATTTTAAGAAGTGTATCTTAATATGGGCAGTTACAGTGTACTTTTCAGTGTGCTTACTAATCTTCAACTTCATTTGTAGTTTTACAAAGAAAGAAAGCTTTTCATTATGGAAGAATAGTCTGCTATCAATGGCAGCCAGTTTCTAGTAGAAAAAAACTGGAAAAATCTAATTGTTCCTGAAATGTAAATTATCCATTATAATTCCATTGCATTGATCATAAACATGAAAAAAATCTTACAGCTATTGTCAGCCTATCTAAGTATAATACCTTTACCCACTTCATTAAATGATACAACAAATGCTTTTTTCTCTTTACAAAGGAGTAAGGTGGACAGATAGGCTGGCGGTTCTATGCTTTGACATAGTGTCTGACACAGAAGGCATTGTTTACTGGTTGATGGATGACTTGGAAATAAAAATTATTCGATTTTCAGATTCAAATTCATTTGTAAAATGTACTCAATATTTAATAAACATACAAGAAAGCACACCTTTTGGGGCACTGTAACACAAACACACCTTTACACAGTTCTGAAAGTAAACTGCGTATTTGTACCACTTCTGCAACTCACCTGGATTTATAATGCTTCAGAGGTTAGGCAACCAGAGTACTCCCTTTTTTGTGTGCAGCATTTGACATTTTATTTGTTAAAAACCACTTAATGTATTTGTCCATTTGCATGTCAACATATGCACACAGCCTGCTGAGGAATTTTGCATGATATATAAATCACTAGCCAAGTTTTTAAGAAGTGAAGCTATTCACTGTCTGCAACTTAAAATGTGTTTTCTTCTCAACAGGAGTCAACAGAGAGTTCAAATACAACAATTGAGGATGAAGATGTAAAAGGTATGATTGAACCAGAAGGAGAAATCCTAACTCAGAGCTCCATCTATTTATCAGGAAAAAACAAGCTTAGTTCAATAGAAATAGGCTTGTTTTAAAACACAAAAGTAAACCATGCATGTGGGCTCATGCCTGTATTCCCAGCACTCAGGAGGCTGAAGCAGGAGGATCGATGAGTTCTTTCTAGACCAGTCTAGGCCACAAAGTAAACTTAAGGCCAGCCTGAACTGCATAGTGAGACCTTGTCTCAAAAAGACAAAAAAATTAATTTTCTTTTTCATTAATGTATGTATATAATAATTTTATCATTTTATATTGTTTTAAGTATTTGTAACTATAGGATATGTGATATATATATATACATATATATTTATATAGACATATATACTATAATGATACTTAGTAACAATAGTTTGAGTAGACAATAAATTATAAATGTACAAGTTAAAAAGTAGTCACACACTTCAGGTTTGTTCATCAAACCTGTTTAGAAAACAATTTATATTCAAGAATGTAGTATGAAAATAAGTTTTTTAAACTTTTGATGGTCTCCAGTAGGGATCAATGGGATGCTGTAGTTGGCAGCCTTTTTATCCTGTTTTCCTGTGCTTTCATTATGCATTCTTGACTGCCATTCACTTTGGTTCACAAAGTGTTTCTAGCTACTAACATCTTCTTATTCCTTTGTACAAGCAGACCAAGCATATTTATAGTTGCTTTATTTCCTTTTGGTTATATCACTGTTTTAGAACTGTTAGTTTGGCTTCAATTCTTTTGCAATTTTTTTTTGCTTTATTTCCTTTTGGTTATATCACTGTTTTAGAACTGTTAGTTTGGCTTCAATTCTTTTGCAATTTTTTTTATAATGCAGCATATGTAACTATAGCATCCACAGGTTCTATATCTTGAAGCTATTCTGAAATGAATGATAACAATAATTAAAATAGAAATCTTAAAGAAAAGATTGTAAAAAAACTTGGAAAGTGTGATCTATCATTTAATCTTTCTTTATCCAGAAAGATTGTTTACTTAATGGTATCATCAAAAGCTGTAATTCTGTAGGTGATAGTAGGAAAATACAGTCTTTAAATGCTGTATTCATATTATAGAGGCAAGAACTAGGACATTCTCAGGTCACAGAATCATAGGAGCAGTTTAGGAAATAAAAATGGCTGTAGACCATTTTTACCAGTCATTTTGGCTGGTTGAATTTAACAACTGACGAGATGAAAGTATGCTCTTAGTGTTACTAGTGCGCTGACCTGACTCTGCTACAAGTAGCCTGACATTGTTTTTACAGTACAAAGATGGATGACTGTGTGGAGGATTTTATTTAGTAGATATGTTTATCCCATTTTTTGCCCCTGAGCTAAAATTTGAACTAAAGTAATTTTATAAATCATAGATGCTGGTCACATTAGATAAGCAGATTATTTTAATCACATAAACAGATGTGTTGTTTAACTCTCATAGTGATTCAAGAAGAATCATCTTGTAAGTGTTTTGGATCCATTACCTCTTTCTACTAAGCAAATGTTTCATACAATTTTTTTGTATTCTTCCTTGATGAAAGTTTTATTATCTAGTGGAGAGACTGAATCATTATGTAACTAAATAAATTTAGAAAAATACTAACATCTCACTGTATGCAGTTCATTTACCAAGGAATGTCATTATTCCTTAATGATTATGACCATGGTTTTATTTATTTATTATGTAAATAGTATATAAAAAAGAGGCCCTCACTCTGTGTGGTGATGCATTCCTATAATTCCAGCTACTCTGGAGGATTGAAAATTTGAGGCCAACCTGGGAGATTTAGTGAGACCTTGTTTCAAATATAATGAAAAGAGCAAGAGAGATAGCTCAGTGTTCCTTGGTTCAATCCTTAGTACCAGAAAGCAAGAAAAAAAAAATTCCTCTGGTATATCACAAAGGAAGCAGTATTTGTCTATATAATTGTGCTGAGAGTATATACACTAAATACTAAATACTAGTGAAATTAAATGTAATGAGGAGGACAAAAGAAATGTCCAGATGACGAATTGAGCCCAAGGTACTTTGGCTTATTTATCCAAAACAATTAAGTGAATTAAATTCCTATTTAATTTTACTAGCATAGATACGACCACAGAGTCATAGATACAGAACCTTAGGCCTCGTTTTGCTGTGTGTAAGACTTACGTTTCAGGATTTGGTAGCTAATACTGAATGATATAAGAAGTTTTTAAGACTAGATGATGCTTCAAAAGATTTTCTAGTCCATCATTCTATCAGGCAGGTGGTACACGAAATGACAATGAATGTTTTTACTGTATTTATTATGCAGCTTGTGCAAGGGTCTCTCCATTTATCAACCTACAATCCTCAAGACCTTAAAATAGTTCTACTTTGGAAAGTTGATGCCCTCTTTCCTTTGCCTCAGAAGCTGCTATATAGCTCTGGGTAGCTTAGTAGAAAATGTGGTTATTGTCCAGTTCTGATAGAACACGAATTTACCTACATATCTAACACGTTAGAGCTCATAAAGACTGTCAGTCATATAATCCAACTTCTCTGTACAATGCTGTATCATTCCACAAAATTAAATGTCTTCCTTCCACACTTACACTGTCTGACCTTGTTGCTTCAGTATGTAGACTTGTTATTATGTGAAACACCAAGAGCTTTTAAACAGCTCTTTTACGCGCGTTTCTGATGCACCTCTGTGTGTTGGCAAACTCTGCCTTACCTGTTGCTAACGCCTGGGGAGGGGTGTTTTAACACCAGTATCTAGAATCTTGTCTCATGGTAACACATGAATAGCATAGTGCAAGCTTCCTTGTCAATGCCCAATCACCAAGAACTCTGTGGCAGTAACAACTTCTGCGTTCTGTCCCTTGGGGTGGGGCGGGTTGTGTGTAAAGAAATGAGGTAGATCAATAGTACAATTCCTTCTCCTGACCTCTTGAGGCAAGATGGGACACACAGACAGCCCTCCTCTTCTCCAGGAATGAGGAAGTAGAATAAAAAGTACATTAAGGGTGCTTCACAGACAGGAGAATCTGGGGTATTTTAGAAACCAGGATTTAGAGGCCTCATTTTGCTTTACACTGCGTTTTACTTGCATTCAGAGTGGCCTGGGGTTCTCTGCCATCCCAGTCTGTGTTACTTTTGAATTATATGTAGTCTTTCAGACTCTTCGTCCATTCAGGAAATACTTATTGAATGCCTACCGTTTTCCAGATTCCACCTATTGTTTTTTGTGCCATAATCAAGAGATTTCAAAGACTCAGAGTCAAAATATTCTTCATAGCATTCTATGTATTATTTTTACTATAATTTAAGCCCATTTCTTTAATTCAACAAATACAAGAAAACTTAGTGCAGAAGTGTGGCTCAAAATAAATGCATTTTTATTTAAAAATCTTTTTTTTTCTTAAAACCTTCCATATTGAGTTACAACATTTTCCTTCTTGAGCTTACAGCCATCCTGAAGAAGTTGGCTTGTTTTATAAACCTTATTTTTAAAAAGCTCTAGATTTTGTTTTTTCTTTCTCCAAAGGCAATGGATGTGTTGAGTTCTTAGTGTTGACCTTTTATGCAGCTCCCTAAATCAAAAATGAAATATTGTTCTGGATACTGTATTCATAAAATATGATAATAGCCCATAATATACCCAAAAAAGAAAAAAAAATTTCCTACAGCATGGTGCTTGTGTTTTCAGAATTTACATTTGTAGCCCAAAATTGCTGAAAGAGGCACTTCCATTTGAATGCAGTCCTTTCCACTCAGTTGGGGTTTTAGCCTTTCATTACTGCCTTTCCAATTCCAACAGTGCTGCGCTCTGGGGTGTGATACACCTAAAACCAGTGAGCCTTAGCAGTGGTCCTTACTCCTTAGTGTCCATTTGAAGACGTCCTTTGCTTTGTGGCTATGGTCACAGTCTGCAGGACCTGCTACTGTATGCCACAATGCCTCTCCACTTTTTTGGCCCACCATCACCATTGCCCAGAATCATCTCCTCCTATGTGATGAGCTCTTTTCTGTCTGCTGGCTCTTGGAGCCGCTCTTTCCCTGCATGCCAGAGTTGGTCTCCTGTATGCCCCCATCATCCCTACCACTCATCCTGCTTCCGGCACCTCACTTCAGCTCATCCCTCAGCACTGCTTGGATCTCTTGCTGTAGTTCATGACTCTTACAGATGTAAGCCATAGAGCTCTGCATTACAAAGAGAACTGCAGCTGTGAGGCTGATTTATGGGGAGCTACATACTTGTTTAACCCCTTTTTCCTTTCCCTGACTAATAGGTGATGTAGTAAAGCTGCCTAGGATGCTTGCAGAAGGCCTAGTTAAGTACAAAAGTATTGGCACCCTTATCACTTGCATGGGTCTGCTATCTTAGGGCATCAGAATGTCAGAGTCTGAGCTAATCTGCAGAATCTCTTGAGGAGTGATTTTTTTGTGTCTTTTGGAAATATGTACAATATTCAGCTATCCTTAGTTCTCATTGGAGTTCTTGGAGCAGATGATGAAATGATGCTCATCTTCTTCCAATTCTTATGCAGTTTGTCACCTGGGACATGTCTTCCATGCTTTTCCCTCACCCAGAGACTATGCAAATCAAGACACTCCTGGATATTTTACTTAAGGACTTTTGATAACTATGTCATTGTTAAGCTGAAAATGTTTTAGAAGAAATGTAAAATGGCTTTATCTAAAATTTAACATTGGAAGGGCAATTCAAATCTTTTGTTTGCATGTGTCTACATGTTGGTCTTGTAACTGTTATATCTGGATTAGTATCTAACAGAACTGATCCAGAATTTGTTCTACTCTACCACCAAAGCATAATAGCTGCATTTTCTGATTTTCTCTTTTTGCTTTTCTTCTATTTTACATTTATTCTCACCCTTTTTCTTTTGTGAAGTTTGCGTCTTGCGTTTGTCAGCTTGTGCAGCTTTACTGACAAAAACACAGAGTCAAAACTGTTGTCAACCCAGGTGAAACAAGTTCCAAAGCAA